GTGCTTCACTTTTTATACCAGACATGTATACATTATAAGTGTGTTAATCCAGCAGAGCCAACAATTTTGGGACCTGAAAGGTCGTTGTGTCTCGTTTATTTTGGATACTAGAGAAAAATATAACAAAACTGTAAATTACTGCCTTCAACTGATCACCTCCGTAAATATAGATACAAAAATAGCCAAACAAGCGTGTAAAAAAATAAATAAATAACAGTTTTGTTGTATAGTATTAATTTATTGCTAAATTCCCCCTCTTTTATAATACTGTAAAGTGCTGCGTAAAAAGTTGGAGCTTCATAAATGCCAAAAATAATATAGTAATGATAATAATTTGAAGCTTATGTAACTCTTAATCAATGTCCTAATAGGTTGTACTGTGCCTGACTAAACCTATTCAATAATATTAGTATCATAAAAGGCATTATATTTATGCAGATTTTTGAACATCTCCACAAACGCATAGAGAAGTGTTTTTGATACATCTGATACAAGGTTCATTCACCAAAACTGTGGAATTGAAGTAAACAGAGCAATGAGTAATGGAGCAGCACTGTTGAATTAACCACTGGGCAGAACATAAAAGTTCTGGGCACTCAAGCAAATCATAATCTGCTTTATGGATCAAGGCCCCTTAAAGCAATGAATACATTAACTTGTGTAAAGACTGGGGAAAAAAAGCATTACAATTTAAAGATGTATAAATAGGTGCTCTTTTCAAAGCTTCGCTCCCTTACCAAGCAATGGTCATTAATTCACCTCTTTTATGATGCTCTGCTCACTGGAAAGCAGGCTGAATTGCTGGTTAACACTTTCTATTCAGCACCAAAAGGATTAACAAGGAAAAATAAAAAGATTTGTGAGGTCAACCACAGTATAGCATGATGCTGAAACGTTATTGACAGCAGGCCAAGGAGAAATCACACAGGGTCCAGATCAATAACTTGTTTCAATGTTATAGGCTCCTGCACACATGAAGTATATATATCTTTAGTGCTGCAAATTCCAAATAATAATTATAATGGAAGCAGGAGATAAATGGTAGCCTCTAGGTAACTGCTCTGATTAGATGAGGGTAAAGGTGACTGGAAAACGTACTTCACAAATGCATTAAAGCTGCAATATTATTAGTGTTTATATATGACTCTGTTATTGGGACAAGGAACACAGAAAGAGACGTGTCAGTCAGAAGGAAATACAATTTGCACAGGGGATATCTCAAGCACACATCAATGAGAATTATTTTTATGTTCTCAGGAAATTAACTCTTTGACATCTTTGCTGCTCCTTTTGAAGGACCCCTGGGACCATTCAAGACATTCAGCTTTGCTATTAACTTTCTCTGACAGCATTTTTGAACTGGATAGCTGTGCTAGTAAAAGAATTGAATAGAACTGAAATCAGAGCATTAACTTAACATGTTGGTTACTCTGTAGTCAACATTCACCATTTATGAAACATTTTTTTTATGTAGACAACATTCACCTTATATGAAACATTTTTTTCTGTAGACAACATTCACCTTATATGAAACATTTTTTTCTGTAGACAACATTCACCTTATATGAAACATTTGTGGTTTATTCACTAAACCATAATATATTGTGGACCGACAAGAATGAAGAGTGGGCAAGATTTTCCATCACATTCATGTTACATTAAAACCTGACACTGATAGTTTTCCCATTATTTTTCACTATAAGCATATTTGTAATATTGATCGTAAGATTGTTTCAGGGCATTTTTTGCAAAAAAGTTACATTTCACATAGATCTGCCTATTATTAAAAGTATTCTTTGGTCAAATGGACTTAATAGACTGAGCTGAAAAATCTGTCATGAACAAGAACCATGGAAAAGTAAGTAGATTTAAGCAGATCGTGGTCAAACAAGGCTCATTGAAGTGGTCTGGGTGCAAACTACCATCACCCTTAACCCTGAGCATGTAATTATTTCAGTTTTTATAAACTGCAATAATTACCTGCTAGGATTAACTCCTCCTCTAGTGGTTGTCTATCAGACACACTTTTGGTTGCCTAAACGACGCTGGACATCTTCACGCTATGCAGGAGGACCTCCAGCGTCACTAGAATCTCTATTGCTATACATTGAATAATGCTTTCCTATGGGGAAATACTAATGCGAGCGCAGCCATTGCTGCCCATGCGCATTAGGTCTCACCCGCCGGCTGATGTCAGCGGGGGAGGAGAGTAGGCGGAGCTGAGCCAGCACCAAGGGACATCGGCGCTGGACCCAGGTAAGTGACAGTAGGGGTTATTAACAGAGGGGGAAGCTTTAGTGCCAGGAAAACGAGTTTGTTTTCCTGGCACAATAGTTTCCCTTTAAATATTAAAAGTGATGGCACAAGTGCTGAACTTCATTCGGTATAATATTTTATACACAATGGATGTAACAAAAGGTTAAGTATTCACAGTGCTGAATAAACTATGAAAATATTAAAAAAGAATCACAATGCAGGAATTGCAATCATTTGGAGTGGATCTGACGTGAACTGAATGAGCAGAAAAAACAAACCTCATCACAGAGTAATTGAACCTGCAACCTTAAAGGAAAACTATAAATGCCATTAGCACTACAGCTTACTGTAGTGGTTATTGTGCCAGCAGTGATCTGGCGAACTATGTGCGTTCTCTGCTTTGCCCTCCTCCAGGCACAAATCTGAGAAGGAGAGGGCAAGACAGAGCACACACACCACCTCTACAGATATTACACAGAGCAAACACACACCATATCCACACATACTGTGTGCTATGGTCCCTCAAAGCCCACTGGGGGTTAAAGTCTCTAGTGGTTGAGTGTGGGAGCACATGGTCTGCACCTCAGGTGGATGCAGACAACAGTAACCACTCTCTCGCTGTGCAGCACTCAGTGAGAAAGACCGCAGCCCACAGGATTCCCTGATTGCACTCTATCACATTAGTGAACTCTGGACAGTGAGGGAGCGATTACTGTGGTCTGTACCTACCGGCAGTGCAGACCACATGCTCCCTGCCCCATATCATCCATAGCTCCACTAAAAAAGCCCTGCTGCTAGCCCATGGCAGTGCTAAAAGCCAATAATATCTACATGCCTGGAGCCCTGAACTACTTGTCCCAGGCGTCGGGAGATAGAAATTCCACATCCCTCAAATCGGCCATGGATAGAGGCTTGGGGGATGTTAGCATGTCCCATCATGTTTTATGTTAGAACTTCCACTAGCTGGCCAGGGTAGGACAGTGACGGCTCAATCCAGTTCCTACAGTAGGGGCATGGAGAGGAGTAGTGCCATGTAAATACACACCAGGCAATTTTATTAGTTGGGCAGCAATATCTGGCAAGTGGTGATTTTTTTTTTTTTTTAATTACAGCAGTAGCTGGCTGCTCACCATTAGACATGCCACCAATGGATTGGTGGGTGGGAGCATAAGGGAGGCTTTCAACCTTCCTATAGTTGGGCTATTTATAGTGGTGAGTAGTGAGCAAGCGCTAGTGAGCCGACACATGGTTAACTCTTGAGCCATTGAGTTTTTTAACTCTGTCTGCTGACTACCAATGGGCAAATAAGTACTAATATCGATAAAACCAACTGAACGATAATTTGCAAATGTGCACCCAACCAGTTGCTTATGGTCCCAATTATGTAGAGAAACTGTAACTGCCTCATCTCATGAAAGTTTTTAAAGTGTCTGAAGTCCTCAGATGTCATTGTTCCACCAGTAACCTTTAAACCATTGTTAATGCTTAACGGGAGTCCTCAGTAGCAATCCTCTCTGTGCAGCTTTGGCTAATGAGAAGGCCTGAGCAACAATGAGCGACTGTGATTGGCTGAGGGTGTCAGCTGATAACTTTCCACTCGTCACACTGCCATTGCTGGTATGAATTAGTTCAGCTAAAAGGAAGTGTGTAATCTCTGCCTCAGCTATACCTCCAATGGAGACTTGGCTGTGAGTGGCAAACCTTATAGGAAATATTATTAAGTGTTAAACTGCTCAAACATTATTTAAAGGGACACTATAGTCAAAACAGCTTAAAGTAGTTGTTCTGGTGAGTATAGTCAGTCCATGCAGGCTTTTTTTTGTAAGCTTTACATTACAGCCTAGGGACACCCGCGGTGACCACTCCTCAGACAGCGACTAGAAGTGCTTCCTGGAGCAGTACTACACAGTGTACATCACTGACGCTCAGCGTCTCCACGCTCTGCATGGAAACACTGAACTTTCCCCATAGAGATGCATTGATTCAATGCATCTCTATAAGGAGTTGCTGATTGGCCAGGGCAGCGTATAGGAAAGCATTGTGAATGGCTGAGATGATCAATTCTGATGATGTCAGCCAAGAGGGCAGAGCCAGCGACCACAGTCCCGCTTCAGAAGTTAAAGGGGGGCCAGGGATGCTAAATAGTTGTTTTAACACTATATGATCACAAATGTTTGTTTTCCTGACCCTATATTGTTCCTTGAACACTGAATAAAGGGACAGTACCACGAGACTCCAGACACCATAACCGATTTAAAGAGATGAAATGGTTCTAGTATCTACAGTGTCCATTTAAAATCTGTGCATTGCAAAATTTGGATGTGAAAAGCACTAATTTTAAACCAGACACCGGTGTCGATTCGGTTGGGAGGACACAATTCCACAAGGATTTGGCTTTAAGTAAATGTGAGAATTGTCATTCCAAAAAAAAAATTTTTTTAGTAAATAGTCAATAAACAGATTAGCTTGCAAGTTTCAAATGGACTGTGGACTTTATATTGAAATATGTATTAAGTGCATCTTATAAAAGGTTTGCTTTGATTAATGATTATTGTACTAAAACTAACGTTGGTTGGTTCCTGGCAGTGGTTATGCAGCCGGAGTGCCCTGCAACCCCCGATTTTAGGCACTGTACTCTGCCTCCATTACAGCTCAGTGACTGACTACTTACAATGCTATGCACTCCTAGCACCATACCCACTACAGGGCACTGTAGTGGTTATGGTGCTTAGTGTTCCTTTAAAGCAGGCTTCCCCAAACTCTGGCCCTCCAGATGTTGCCATGAGTCTATGAATGAAATAGATAGGCTGAGAATCATTGGAGTTGTAGTTCAGCAACACCTGGAGGGCTGGAGTTTGGGGAAGCCTGCTTTAAAGCATGCCTTTCTGTACAACTAGAAGTTAAATGGACATTAAGCAGTAAAACTACTTTAGCTTAATAAAGTGTTTTGGGGTATGCATCCTGCGCCTGAAATCTCATTGCTAAATTATCTTCCATATGGGAGTTAAAGGTACACTATAGTCACCCAGACCACTTTAGCTCAATGAAGTGGTCTGGGTGCCAGGTCCCTCAGGTTTAAACCCTTCAGATGTAAATATAGCAGTTTCAGAGAAACTGCTATGTTTACATAGCAAGGTTAATCCAACCTCTAGTGGCTGTCTTCCTGACAGCCGCTAGAGGCAAATCTGCGACGCTGTAGTTGTTCTGGTGACTATAGTGTCCCTTTAAATCACTTAGTGTATTCAGCCTTAGCCACACCTCCCTAACTATGACTCCGAGTCTTCCTAAACACGTAGCAGTGTCATCTCTTATTGGACTGTGTTTAACTGAGACATTCTTATTTCCTGCTCTGTTAAACTATAACACTATAGCGTTAGGAACACTATAGCGTTAGGAATACAACTCCCCCCTTCCCCCGTGAGGATTTAAAAATAAGTTTTACTTACTTTATTCTCTTGCCACGCTGGTCTCACCGCAGACTCTCTAGCCGAGATCATCCATCTTGATGATCTCAGCCAATCTAATGTTTTTCCATAAGGAAGCATTGGGAGGCTAGCGTGCATGGACGACAAAACACTGCTCTGCACCAATCACATGGTCTATATGAGCAGCATTTGACTGAATAAAATAAACTACTCTCACTAAATTAGTCTCTAGTGGCTGTCAGATCATATTGGAGAGGAATGCAGGCCAGGCTGCCTGTCAATAATACAAGCCAGCATTGTTTCATTGCTCTTTGCATGGTCCTTAGATACATGAATACATCATGTATCTAATGATGTATTCATGCTACACTTTCTGGAAACCACAGGTGTCCCAAAAAGCAGAACACCAGGGAACAAAGTCAGGACAGTACCCTAAAATCGTGACTGACCCAGAAATCGTGATGATTGGGAGGCTTGCTGTCCCGTACAAATCCAGAGGGGTTTTTTTTTTTTTTTTGTTCTAAATGCTTTGGAACTGAATCAATTGGGGAATTCTCTGTCTTATGACAAAATAATTTCTGTCACTTGCAGAATAGTCCTCCACTGCACTTTCATGTTGCAGTGACTTTGCAATCCCTCGATACCTCAGACACTTTCGGGTGAAATGCCATGCTTGCAGGTGTTTTCAGCATTTCCTCCAGCAGTGCCATGCATGTGCATATAATAATTCTGTCGGGCCTTGCATGGCCAAGCATGTAAATGGAAAATAAAACAGATGAAGAATTATTAACACGTTAGCACAAATTTTAGATTAATCTATAGCTATTTTTTTTTTTTAAATCTAGCTATAAAGTTGCACTAAAACTGATGATGTGAAAATTCATCTTAAACTTTCAAGATGTTTCCGCATTCTGTTTTTATACATTAGCTACCAGTCATAACAGCTAACTGAAACAGGTATCTACTTGCAAGATGTCCATCAAGATGCCAATGACATCACAACGCCATGCGCAAGATAATCTGTGGGAATGTTCTTTACATTCCCTTTTCTCCAACAGTGAGGTGAAATAATCAAGCTGTGCTATTCCAGATGTAGAGGGTTTTTTTCTGATTTTTTAAAAATTTTATTACATTTTGCAATCTTCATTCCTATTCTATACAATTCAGGTTTTAGAGAATACCCACCCCTTCACACGTGTTCCTTCATAAATGTGAGGCATTGTCACCATATGTAATTAATAGTAATAATGCAGTGTTCCCTAACAAAAGACAACATTAAACAAGCAAGCACTGAGTTTATTTTTCTCCATTCCATACGTGTATAATAGAACTTAATTGCTAGTACCACTGACACATTGTCAAAGCTAGCTTCCTATACCTTAGCTTCTTTCTCTCCCTCCTCGTGTGCAATGCGTTTCATCATGACTCCTTGTTTTCCTTCTTCCATCATATGCTTGTACGCAGGGACTTGTAGTTAAAACGCAATTATCTTCTACGGAAAAGAGCACGCGTTGAACTACAAGTCCCGTGAGAACACTGCACTCTGTCTTGACGTCATTCAGCGATTCATACAGGCGGACTACGTCTCCCGTCATACCTAGCGGCACAACTTGCAAGCGGCCAGGAAATTGCGTCAGGGTGGCTTTTGGTCGTTAGCAACCGTTGCTGGGTGCCGAGCAGGCCGACGCGGTGCAGGAGAAGAAGGCCTGGGGAATGATCGAATCTTTAGGTTAGAATGTTTTACTTTCCCATACGTTAACCTTCCTTTATAGAAAATATATAAATATTGATTCTTGTATTTTATTATTTTGAATATTTTCAGAGACTGCGGCATGCATACGTTTTCTCTGTGATCTGATGTCCATATTATCAATTGAATATTTACAACACTGTAACTAAAGGTAGACATCCCCCTCTTCCCCCCCATCTGGCAAGGGATCATGGGAGTTGTAATTCTAAGTAAATTGGGAGGGTGGTTACCATTTATTTTGGAACTCCACTTGATATGTTTCTATATGCACTGCAGCTCCCATTATGCCAAGCCAGTATGGTTGATTCTTTGGCTGAGTGAACATTATGGGGAGTGTCCATAAAACGAGGGGTACCAAATGTTTGCCTCTATTGCTTATGAAATATGTCAGTGATATGCAACCTTCACCCTCCACTCCAGATGTTCTGGGCTACATCTCCCAAAAATGTTTTTACACCCATAACGCTGGCAAAGTTTCAGGGGAGATGTAGTCCACAGTATCTGGAGTGCTGACAGTTGCCTATCCCTGAAGTATGTCCTTGACGTTTATGTGTTAGCAAGAGAAACAATATTAAGACAAAATATGCAAGAATATTTGTAGTTCTGCTGTTTGCGCCAATACCAGTAGTTGTGTTTCACAGACTAATATAGCCACACGTGAGTATATTATAACATAATACAAATATTTACTCTTTTATAGTCTATCATAAATACTGATATAATCAGACTAGTTATAATCATAAGTGTAAATGCAGTCCTATCACCTTTCCAAACGTTCTGGGTATTTCATAAAAATAGAATCTTTTTAAGTTACTCGTATTGAGTGTTTTAGAATTCCATTGAGAATACAATGCCGTCAAAATATATTATAAGACAAAGTAGGGTTCTACTTGGTCTTATGGTAAAGTCTGAAGTTGACAAAACTTGAGGAAAGGTGAAACTTTTGCCAACATGTTTTGTCACTTCCCCCAACTGCTACTTGCAGGATTTTGCATAGACATCAGTTTTTAGACATCAGTTTTGGATTCCCATATATGTGTGAGAATTTTTGCAAGATGAAGCTTCAGGAGTTTAATAAAGAAGATGGAGCCTATGGCATATCTACCCTCCAATACACCCCAAGCCTTAAATGTTTTTTTGCTAAATGTGCAAAGACCTCCAAAAGTGAGTAAAAATACCACCCACAGCTGGTTCTTCTGCTCTCCACACAGAGCAACCACTGCGCATGTGCTGTGATTGCTATGGTAGTTCTCTAGCCGACAATGCCAGCACTGGCTATAGAGTGTGCTGGCATCATAGAGGAAGCTGTGTGGTGCAGCATTTCATACATAAACATTCCACATACAGACTTTTTGCACAAAACCATTTAAAAACACTTAAGTTGTCATGGTGCATTGCGTAATTCTATAAACTGTTTAGATTACCTCTTTATTACATTTAATATAAAATTATATAAAAGTATTTAGCGACAAAATGTGATTTTGCAATGTTTCCTGTGTAGGGCAGTTAAAAGGGATAGCCATAGTAATAGGTAGTTCTAGGTTTGGAGGAGCAGGACATGATAGTATGATGCTCCATCTCATACCATGGAATCTGAAGTCTGGCAATCTACGTATTTCTGATAAACTGACACATGCCTCTACCTGTAATGGACTTTACAGTCATAAGACGTGTCTTGGTCTTCGTAAAATGTACATCCATAGATTTCCTTATAAATGTGAGTAAACAACTTTAAGAGTTTCTCTAGTGTTTCAATTCTGATAGCTGCATGTAATCCAGAATACTTATTGACATGATGATTCCCATGCCTATACTTTGTGCTTGTGTAACATATTGAGCTATTTATGACATGTATTATGGCATTTTATTTTCTGCTACTACATGGTTTGGTTCTTGGGGTAATTTTTTATTTTTCAAAACCTGGAATTGAGGCTAGTTGACATGGAAATTGAACATTTTACACAAAAAAAAGTCAATTTAGAATATTAAATGGATTTTTTATTTTTGTTCAAATGTGTTTATTTTGGTCAGAAATGTACAATACGATTGTTCATTTGTCACAGTTACCTGCTAAGTGTAACTTCATAGTTTGCATTGCTACATTCCGAATCATTTTGATATCCTACCTTGATGTTCCTCAAAAGGAGTTTTTTTTTTTGTTTTTTTTTTGTTTAATATTATTTTTTATTTTTTTTATAAAGAGTCTGGTTTTATTAAGTTACTACTGGTGTTTACCCTGAAACACTAGGAACTAAAGAGTGATATACTTATATGTGCAATTTAATAGAATTTTCCATTTGTTTTACAGCAATGGCTACTCCTTTGGACGAGACTGCTGCAGATCTACCAGTAAAAGACCTTGGACCAAGTCTTACAGGAATTGGAATAACGCAAGGTCTGACAGTGTATTTACCTAGCACCACCCACCTCACCTTATTATTTGTCTTTTTTGTATAAATTCTCTTTAATCTTTGTGACAGAATTTACATTTAAAGGTCACTCTATGCACTATCACAACTTTGTAGAGCTACAGAGTTGATAGTGCAGAGAGTACTTTGCATTCATTCCGTACTGAAGTTCTAAACCAGAACTTTTTGTAGAGATTACTGCAAATCTCAAACTGCCCCCTCTTTCAGTCAGGCTCAATTCTGGGTGCCTGATGTCAATTTTTATTAATTTGTGCTTGCTGATTGTTCATAAT